AATACTTAAATTTTGTGGTCGCTCTAGAGGCCGCGATTATGGCCCAAACATCGCGAAATTTTACATAGAGAAGGGGATCGGGCCAATGAATAAGCACGCCTGTTAAAGATTGGTTTGATAAAGATTGGTAATAGTTAGCGGGTCAAATGGACCCAGACTTTTGGGTGAACAATTATAATAATTGCATTCTAGGACGTATATATTTACTGCTGAGGATCAGCATCGAATAATATTACCAGGCTCGGAATATAGATCTACAGAAAGTAAGATTTCCGAAGTAGTTGTGTAGGGTATGGTAAGATCCGTCCCACTATACTGCTCCGCTCACTGATTTAAATATATATGTATGTCATTCAAAAAGATTAGATTTTTTAAACATATTTTTTACATGTCTATTAAAAAGCATAGGTTTTTTATACCCTACACAACTATGTTGTCAGGGTATTATAGCTTTGTGCAGCCCCAAAAGTTTGTAACGCCGCGAAATATTGGTCCTAGACCCACCTTTAAGTATACCGATCGTCATATCTCGACTAGCTGAGTCGATCTAGACATGTGTGTCCGTCCGTCCGTCCGTCCGTCTGTCCATTATAATTTGTAAACACGATACAGGCCACAGTTATGGACCAATCTTCACGAAATTTTGCATGTAGGATGGGTTCTGTACAATGAAGACCCCTATTGTTTTTGGGAAAGATCGGTTAATATTTAGGGGATGAAATGGACCAAATTCTAAATTTTTGTCGGTTTTTCTGGTCGCTCCAGAGGCCGCAACAATGGTCCGAACATCGTGAAATTTTGCATGGAGAAGGGGATCGGGCCAAAGAATAAGCATGCCTGTTTGGAAAAAGATCGGTCAATATTTAGCGGGTCAAATGGGCCCTGACTTTTGTGTGAAAAATGACAACATTTGTATTCTATGGCGCATATGTTTACCCCTGAAGGACATATACCCGAGAAGTTGATATTATATCCAGGAGGAGTGGTTGACCTTTAAATTAAGACCAATTATATTGTTGTATGTGCTCGGATGTTAGAGTTGCACCTAAATATTTACAGGTATCTCCGTATTCGTATATTATTTAGTAACCCATTATCACTCTGGAGAGCGGAATTATAGCGCTGATCGCTTTGAAGTGTTCCATGAGGTTCCAGTTATGGTCAAGGACAACGCCTATAATTTTCGGTGATGATTAGATAATAATTTTGGAATGAAGTGGACCGAAAACTTAATTTTTTGTGTTTTTTTCGAGTCGATCTATAGACCTCAAATGAAAGCCGAACATCACAACACAACCCACGGTGAAGGGAATCTAGACAATAGCTGTACTGAATACTCGTAATATTCGGAAGATATGTCAGTGTGAGGAAGAGGTGCTGTTTACCTCTAATCGGGCAAGAGGGTGCAAATATCACGAAATATTGCCCAGTCTCGGAATAAACATCCGCAGAAAATTTGAGTTCCGTGGTAGTTGTGTAGGGTATCGTATGGTCGGCCCCGTCCGACTATACTGCTCCGCTCACTGGTTTTAAATTATATTTTCAAGCTCTATCAAGAGACGTTACATTATACACAATTTTTAGGGCCTCCATTTGTCAAAAATATGTTTTATTAAGTAGCGTAGGTAAAACGAGAAGCGTAGAATTTCTAAAGAATGCGAATTTAAAAAAATAGCAAGTAAAAAAGTGTCAGTCGGTGTTGCCGACATGTATATACCCCCAGCCTATTGTTTGCGAAGTTACACACAGATTTTATGTTTAGATTTTTTGGATTTAATGTTGATCAAATTTTATAAAATATTGACCATTTGTGAGGGAAGTTCCAGAAGGAAGGAGGTAGGTTGTCCAAGGTTTGGTTCAAATCTGGCATTCCATTCGCCTGATATTGCATTTATAGGTATTGAAAATGTTAACCATTTGTGGGGAAGTTACCAGAAGGAGTAGACCAATGGTCCCAATCTTCAGACGTAATCCAGACTTTTGGGTTGTGCATAGTTTGGTTCAAATCGGATAGTCCGTTCGCATAATATTATAAAACTAATTTTTAGCACAATTTTGACAATTTGTGGGTGAGTGGACCCATATTCCCCATCATCGAACTTAGACTAAGTTTGGAAGAAATAATAAGATTTGCAAATTTTGGATGAAGTCGGGAGTTATCGTGCGTACCAGCCAAACAGATTGACGGACAACGGACGGCCGGACATGTGTAAATCGACTCCAAATTTTCTGAAACGGATTTGGTCCAAAGAAACATGGCCCTAAAACAAATATTTCTATGAGGCACATTTTCACCGTATCAAAGTGTATATACACTCATTGGCCATACGGCTGAGGGTATAAAAATATGTCAAGGTTCATTTATTAAAATTAATTAATGAGAATGCCAAATTGAATCTACTCTGGTGGGATATACGATAAAAACCTTCAAAATACCAAAAAGGTTGTGGAGGTTTTTGTGGAGGAGGTGCCGTTCAAAATATGGACCATATATAGGCCGTTTTCCCCATTGATGTATGCCAGCCTTAAAGAACTCGGATTGCCAAATTATAGCCCTGTCGTTTGGAGAATGCGGTTAACACTTTAAAATATCGAAAATGGATCAGAACAAATAAATGGGGGGTTATATCTACAAATAGTCATATATAGACCTATATTGAAAATTTCTACAAAGATGTTTTCTACCTACTGTGAACCCAAATTCCAGTTATTTTGGTTAAATAATGTCCTTTCTTAAACAAAATTGCATGTTCTATTTTTCTATTTTTTTACTAAAATTCAAATGTAAAAAAAAGTAAAGAAAAATGCGTTTAAAGTTTGAGAATCACTCTTGCCGTCACTTGATGATGTTATTGTATCATCGACTTTATCTTGAAGAGTTCTTGAGATTTTCACTTGAAATTTTTGAATTAGTGTAGATTCGAAAAACTAAATAAAAATTTTTGACACCGAGAATGGGTGAGTCCCCTTAATTCGAATTTTCAAAAGCATATAGCTCCCATGTAGCGGGTCTTGGCAAATATCGGTATTTTACGGATTTTAGGCGGATTTTCCGACCGAAATCGCATATCGGGTTTTTAGAAACCAAAATACATATGTGCCGGCAATTATTAAACCTGGGCCATGGTCCAGCCCAATTATCTGTATTTGGCATTGTGGAGTTTTAGAATCCTTGTAGAATTTTGAATCTGTGCAGAAAATCATTATAGGCCATGTTATCACATATCCCCATAAAAAACCGGGCCAATTTCCGGTATTTTGATTGTGGCTTCATTTGGGATTTTGAGGTTTTGTAGACTTACAAACATCTGCTCAGGAAAAAAAGGATCAATACTGGTCCATGTCTTTATGTAGCCTTCAAATAAAGGTCTCACCCTACTTTTGGAATTTTGAGGCTTGTAGGAGCGTTTTCTAAACGAAAAGTCTCCAACTGGCATTTCGGGGTTTTGAAGGCTGACATTTGGAGGCGACACAAAATTTTAAAGTTCCAGTTTCATGGCAAAAAAAAATAATTATCGCTTAAAAATTTTTGAAATAGGTTAAAATTTGTAAATACATACAGGGGTCCTGATTAATATTTGCTATTTTAAAGTTTCTAGCCTAGTTTTACAACCTTAGTGTCTTCAATTTGAAATTTTATTTCCCTCAGAGTATAAACATTCCACTAGATAAAAAAAAACGTATAATACAACGCCAATATTGACCCTTGTAAAAGTCGATTTCAAAATATAATTGTATAACCCCTGAATTTAATTTACGTTGACAAACCTACTTAAAATAAATATTAACCAGTGAGCGGAGCAGTATAGTCGGACGGGTCCGACCATGCGATACCCTACACAACTACAACGAACTCTAACTTTCTGAGGATGTTTATTCCGAGTCTGAGTAATATTTCGTGATATTTGCCCCCTCTTGTCCGATTAGAGGTTAACAACACCTCTTCCATACTTTTTTCGAATATTCCGTACAGTCCTTCTAATTACTTGTCCAGATTACCTTCTCGGTGGGTTGTGTTGTGATTTTCGGATTATACTCTACTCGAAAACACACAAAAAATTATGTTTTCGGTCCATTTCATCCCAAAATTTTAATCTGATCATCACCGAAAATTGTAGGCGTTGTTCTTGACCATAACTGGAACTTCATAAAAAATTTCAAAGCCATCAGCGCGATATTTCTCCCTCTAATGTGGTAATGGGTTACTAAATAATATCTGAATACGTAAGCACCTGTAAATATTTGACTGTAACTCCCACATCTGAGTAGATACATCACTATATTTGGTATCAATTTAAAGGCCAACCACTCCTCTTGGATATGCTAGCAACTCCTGTGGTCTACATCCTCCAGGAGTAAATATATATGCCATAGAATACAAATTTTGTCATTTTTCACACAAAAGTCAGGGTCCATTTGACCCGCTAAATATTGACCGATCTTTATCAAAACATGCATGCTTATTCTCTGGCCCGATCCCCTTCTCCATGCTAAAATTCGCGGTGTTTGGGCCATAATTGCGGCCTCTGGAGCGACCAGAAAAACCGAAAAAAATTTAGTATTTGGTCCATTTCATCCCCTAAATATTAACCGATCTTTTCCAAAAACAATAGGGGTCTTTATTGGCCAGAACCCATCCTACATGCAAAATTTCGTGAAGATTGGTCCATAACTGTGGCCCGTATCGTGTTTACAAATTATAATGGACAGACGGACGGACGGACGGACACACATGTCTAGATCGACTCAGCTAGTCGAGATATGACGATCGGTATACTTAAAGGTGGGTCTAGGACCAATAGTTCGCGGCGTTACAAACATTTGGGGCTGCACAAAGCTATAATACCCTGACAACATAGTTGTGTAGGGTATAAAAATTCAATTTTGAAAATTTCATCAAAACACCACCTACAACAAAATTATAATTAAATTACACATTTTTAATTAGACAATTATATGAAAATACAATTTTATTTTTTCTATTATTTCCATTTTTGCAGGTAACCGTTGGCCGACGCATTGGTCTCTACAGATTTTGTGGCGATATAGGACGTGGCAATTTTTCCAAAGTCAAATTAGCTGTACACCAGCTAACACGAGGTAAGTCCACACACACACGGGTATTCCATCCAACCAACCCGCACACACTAAAACGTAAATAATTTATAAAACATGGCCAATAGATGGATGGATACGCACATTAGTAGTATGTGTGGCTTTTAGTTTAATTAAAAAACAAAACAATAGTGGAAACTAAAACTATTGTTGTTGTTGCTTCTGCTGCCAGTTTGAAATATGACTTTGAAATGAAATTATTTCATGTGTTATTTATTTGTCTTTTCTCTGCTTCTCTTTATCTCTTTGCTTTCTTTTGCATTTTGTGGTCTACCAACGATATCCTGACTATTTGCTTTATGGATCTAAATGTGTGCGTGTGCCGATGCATTCTTCTGCTTCTTCTGGGAACTCGTCTGCATGTAAATCATTTGTTGTCCTCCTGATGTCCTGACCACACAGACAAAGTTGCCATCAAAGTAGTTGACCGAGCTGGACTGGATGCCAAAGCATTGCGTATGCTTTCAAGTGAAATTGCCACACTTGAATGTGTTCATCATCCTAATATTTTAAGGTTAGTATGTATGTATGTGTAAATATTCGTCTGTAGGTTTTGAAGTGTGGTAATTGCCTAAGTACTTGACATTATTTTCTCCTATTAGATAAATAACACTTTCGAAAAATGCTTGAAGTATTTTTAAAGGATTTGAAGTGAGACAATTGTTTTTAGTCCGAAAGGACATGTAGTCAAAAGGACACACAGGTTTACATTTATAATTTTTAGTGGACTACAATATAATAGAATATTTTTTCAAGGGCCGATCTACACAAGGCGTCGATTTTTTAAAGAATATTATTTCAAGGCCTACTTAGACAAGGCGTGAATTTTTTAAAGAATATTTTTTCAAGGCCTACTTAGACAAGGCGTGGATTTTTTAAAGAATATTTTTTCAAGGCCTACTTAGACAAGGCGTGGATTTTTTAAAGAATATTTTTTCAAGGCCTACTTAGACAAGGTGTGGATTTTTTAAGGAATATTTTTTCAAGGCCTACTTAGACAAGGCGTGGATTTTTTAAGGAATATTTTTTCAAGGCCTACCTTAGACAAGGCGTGGATTTTTTAAAGAATATTTTTTCAAGGCCTACTTAGACAAGGCGTGGATTTTTTAAAGAATATTTTTTCAAGGCCTACTTAGACAAGGCGTGGATTTTTTAAAGAATATTTTTTCAAGGCCTACTTAGACAAGGCGTGGATTTTTTAAAGAATATTTTTTCAAGGCCTACCTTAGACAAGGCGTGGATTTTTTAAAGAATATTTTTTCAAGGCCTACCTTAGACAAGGCGTGGATTTTTTAAAGAATATTTTTTCAAGGCCTACCTTAGACAAGGCGTGGATTTTTTAAAGAATGTTTTTTTCAAGGCCTGCATAGGCAAGGCGTGGATTTTTTAAAGAATATTTTTTCAAGGCCTACCTTAGACAAGGCGTGGATTTTTTAAAGAATATTTTTTCAAGGTCTACTCAGACAAGGTGTGGATTTTTTAAAGAATATTTTTTCAAGGTCTACTCAGACAAGGTGTGGATTTTTTAAAGAATATTTTTTTCAAGGCCTACTTAGACAAGGCGTGGATTTTTTTAAAGAATATTTTAGACAAGGCGTGGATTTTTTTAAAGAATATTTTAGACAAGGCGTGGATTTTTTTAAAGAATATTTTAGACAAGGCGTGGATTTTTTTAAAGAATATTTTAGACAAGGCGTGGATTTTTTTAAAGAATATTTTAGACAAGGCGTGGATTTTTTTAAAGAATATTTTAGACAAGGCGTGGATTTTTTTAAAGAATATTTTAGACAAGGCGTGGATTTTTTTAAAGAATATTTTAGACAAGGCGTGGATTTTTTTAAAGAATATTTTAGACAAGGCGTGGATTTTTTTAAAGAATATTTTAGACAAGGCGTGGATTTTTTTAAAGAATATTTTAGACAAGGCGTGGATTTTTTTAAAGAATATTTTAGACAAGGCGTGGATTTTTTTAAAGAATATTTTAGACAAGGCGTGGATTTTTTTAAAGAATATTTTAGACAAGGCGTGGATTTTTTTAAAGAATATTTTAGACAAGGCGTGGATTTTTTTAAAGAATATTTTAGACAAGGCGTGGATTTTTTTAAAGAATATTTTAGACAAGGCGTGGATTTTTTTAAAGAATATTTTAGACAAGGCGTGGATTTTTTTAAAGAATATTTTAGACAAGGCGTGGATTTTTTTAAAGAATATTTTAGACAAGGCGTGGATTTTTTTAAAGAATATTTTAGACAAGGCGTGGATTTTTTTAAAGAATATTTTAGACAAGGCGTGGATTTTTTTAAAGAATATTTTAGACAAGGCGTGGATTTTTTTAAAGAATATTTTAGACAAGGCGTGGACACTTCACCACACTGTGGTACAGGGTATTATGCCTTTGTACATATGTTTGTAACAGGCAAAAGGAAACGAGACAGACACATGGTTCCTTTTGAGAATATGCATAGAATCACTTCTGAGTCGATTTATGCATGTCCGTCCGTCCGTCTGTCCGTCTGTAGATGTTAAATTGTAAACAAGGTCGCATTTACAATCCAATTTGGATGAAATTTGGCACAAGTCACTTATTTGGCCCAAGGACGAACCCTATTGAAATTGGGAAAAATCGGTTCAGATTTAGATATAGCTCCCATATATAGTTTCGTCCGATTTAAGGTAAATGGGGCACCAAAGTCCCTCTATATATTTCGTTTTGCATGGAATTTGGCATAGAGTACTGAATTAGGTCCAGAATGATGTGTGCCTAGTTTCGAGAAAATCGGTTCAGATTTAGATATAGCTCCCATATATAGTTTCGTCCGATTTAAGGTAAATGGGGCACCAATGTCCCTCTATTTCTTTCGATTTGCATTAAATTTGGCACAGCGTACTTAATTAAGTCTAAAATGATGTCTGCCAAATTTCGTGAAAATCGTTCCAGATTTAGATATAGCTCCCATATATAGTTTCGTCCGATTTCATGTAAATGGTGCACCAAAGTCCCTATATATCTTTCCATTTGCACGAAATTTAGCATGACGTATTGAATTGAGCCTAGAGCGATGTCTGCCAAGTTTCGTGAAAATCGGTTCGGATCTAGATATATATTTTTTGTCTGATTTAATTTAAATAATGTGTGAAAGTTCTTATGTTGCATAGCGTACTGAATTTAGTCCAGAATTTTGTGTGCCATCGGTTGAGATTTAGATATGGCTGATATGAAGTAATTGACGCACCAAAAAACCAATATATGGCTGATAGGAACTAAACGTACCGAAATTAGTATAACTTAACCTGTGACATGTTTCGTTGAAATCGTTTCATATATTAGTATAGCTTCCATATATATTTTCGTCCGATTTTAAGTAAATTGTACATCCAACTCCTCATGTTTGTCATATTGACATCAAATTTTGCACAACGTACAAAATTGAGCCTAGAATAACGTAGTTACGTTTTCTTGAAGTCGATTAGTTTGAAGTCGATTTTCATACTTTTGTCCCAAACGAATGACATGTTTATGGATAGATCTAGTCCGATTCACACTTAGAAAAATAGCACATATGTTATTTCATCCAATTTCATGTTAATAATGCTGTTTAATATACCCATAGTGGTGAAGAGTATCATATAGTCGGCCCCGTCCGACTTTACTACTTTCCTTACTGGGTTAAATAATATTTTAGTCAAGGCCTACTTAGACAAGGCGTGGATTTTTAAAGAATATTTTTTCAAGGCCTACTTAGACAAGGCGTGGATTTTTTAAAGAATATTTTTTCAAGGCCTACTTAGACAAGGCGTGGATTTTTTAAAGAATATTTTTTCAAGGCCTACTTAGACAAGGCGTGGATTTTTTAAAGAATATTTTTTCAAGGCCTATTTTTATACTACCCTAAAATTAACTTTTACTATTTCAGGAATCTAATCTAACCAACAAAACTAAACACGTACTTTCATTACTAATTTATTTATACGAATGTTTTTCTTCTTCTTCTTTTTCTCTTTCCTTATAAAATTCTGCCCTGCTGTGCGAATGCTGTGAATATATAAAAATGTCATTGTGTATGCTAATGTCACTGCTGGCGGTTACCCGCTGTATAGGCTTTTTGAGGTAGTCGAAACGCTGGGTCGTGTCTATCTAGTCACCGAATGGATTCGTGGTGGTGAATTATACAATCATATTACCCAAGGTGGTCCATTACGTGAAATTCATGCAGCTCCCCTCTTTAAACAATTGTTATTGGCTGTGAAACATATGGTAAGTTAAAGTGCTGTGTTTGTTGGTTTTTTATTAGCTAAACACAGTGAGACAGTGGGATCCGGATAAATGTAATTTGGAACAAACATTAAAAGGAGCTCCTGGTTTCCCTGGTTTGACTCCTAAGGGATGACTAGAAATTGATTTTTGATATGTATGCAATAACAAATTTCCCCATTGCAATTATCCGGAGCTGACTGTAGTTACAATAGTATTTTTGTATTCATCTGTAACACCCACACACAGACTCATATTTCTCGTAATTCCAGCACGTGACTCCTCTCAAAAGGTTATTACACGCCAACAAATTTTGTAATTTTTTCAAAAGTGTCAATGTGTGTGTGTCTGTGTATTTCTATGTACTTGTATGTGTGTACGAAATTATTACTTAAGAAATTATTACTTACTCGTCCGGTTCTAATTGCTCTTTGTTCTAACAATTTATTTGTTGTTGTCTTTACATTTTTTCATTAATTTGTTTGTCTTCTTTTTGTTGTTCTCCATTTCTCTATTTTATTCTCCAACAACAACAGCACAGTTTGGGTTTTGTTCATCGTGACATAAAGGCCGAAAATGTTCTGCTCCTGTCAGAGGATCGCCTAAAGTTGGCTGACTTTGGTTTTAGCACACAATTACTTAATGGTGAGTACATAAATACACATACATACATGTGTTGTAATTTGACATAGCTTTGGATGAAAGGTTAATGACCCCCTCCTAGCTCCTCATTGTATTGTTGTCAGTTCTAGGAAACGATAAAACAGTCAGAGTTTGTGTTTTCTTTTTTGAAATGTCTGAAGCTGAGAGGATAAGGGAATAATGATTGGAAAAACTAAATTCAGCCAGGCTGAATTGAAGATCTCCTTTAGAAACCCTAATTCAGCCAGGCTGAATTGAAGATTTCCTATAGAAACCTTAATTCAGACAATTGAATTGAAGATTTCCTATAGAAATCTAAATTCAGCCAGGCTGAATTGAAGATTTCCTATAGAAATCTAAATTCAGCCAGGCTGAATTGAAGATTTCCTATAGAAACCTTAATTAAGCCCGGCTGAATTGAAGATTTCCTATAGAAACCTTAATTCAGCCAGGCTGAATTGAAGATATCTACATAGAATGTGCATTTTTTAAATATTTTTCAATGTCCTACGTAAGTCGAGAATTTTTTTTTAAATATTTGGTTTTTTGTTTTATTTTTAGGCCCCAATCAAAAACTTGATACATTCTGTGGTTCGCCACCCTATGCTGCACCAGAATTATTTTCGGATGACCACTATATTGGAGCTCCCGTTGATGTATGGGCATTGGGTATATTATTGTATTTTATGGTGGTGGGCAATATGCCATTTCGGGCCCCCACAATACCGGGACTGAAGGCAGCCATACTCAAAGGAGACTATCTCTTGCCGGGTCAACTGAGTCTGCCATGTATAAGACTAATACGTAAGTACAGATATTCAAAACCCTCACACATTCTCCATGACAAATTTTAATGGACATCCTTCCCATTTCCTCGATTTCTTCCTCTCTCTCCTCCGCAGAACGTATTTTAATCCATATCCCAATACGTCGACCCACCATCGATGACATGCTGAACAGTCAATTTATAACCCATCCAAAACTTAGTGCCGAACTGATGCAACACGAAATTAATTTACGCACCAAATCTGCCAAACGTTCCGGCTTTTGGGTGCGTTCCAAATCGCGACGCATGCGCAAACAATATTCGCTGCGCGAACGCTACATGGAGTTAACCAATAAACCGCCAATAAATATGAACACAAAACGCACAGACGGATTTTTCGTCGATAATTTCCTACAACCCATAGAATTGGCCAAAGATTTACCCCTGGAACCGATTAAAGAGCAGTCACGCAGTAATACCCCCAAGCGATCATTTTTATGTGGCACCCTAAAGAAGAAAGTCGGTCCCATGGAAACGGAAAATGAAAGACAGCTCAATAATGGCACACTGGGTCAACAGAAATTACAATGGAATAATATTTTGGCTGCAGTACCTCCCGAATGTCCACTCTTTAAGAATTATGATAATGAAACCGGGCCATGTATTATGTTTCCCACAGATACGGAGGATATGAGTAAGTTAACACCCCTCGAACAGGAGGCTCGACAAATTCTCGAAGAGTTGGGCATAACAACGGAAATGCTGATGCAGGCTGCTCAGAATGGTCCACGAAGTGATATCATTGGTGCCTATCGCATTGTCATCAATCGTTTGCAGAAACAGTCGTGGTTGGCCCGAAAACATGTCGAAATGGCCCTGCAAGAAATGCCCAAAACGGAAAAGAAAATTGAACGCTCCTGCTGCATACTGTAAGGATCAACGAACGGGTAATTAACGAAAAAATGGGGTATAACCTCAGGAATGTTAGAAAAATGAAATCGGGATGGCACTTTCGCCATCCTTTGCTTTGGGTAGTCTTCGCAAAACAAGTCAAATATTTACAAAAACTAATTTCAAACCCAAAACAAACATGATAAAAAATCCAAATAGATTTCCACACTAAGAATTTAAACAAAACGTGATGTGTACTGACAGTATAAATAGTCCGTTGGTCTGTTTTTTTCTATGATTAATTAAAAATAAAACAGGTAGTTTTAAAAATTACGAGGGTTACGAAATACCAGTTAACGATATCTGCAATTTGGTGTCCGCAATGAATTTCTTCTCGGCATATGATGAGCTATATGATAGACGAATAACTTTCAATCAGCCGTCAAGTTTTAAGATGGGTGCGTTTCGTGAAAGTATTTTTGGAGGGACTTTTACAAAGTAGATATTTCAATATTGCCAAGGACTGAGTTTATTTAATTTTTTTTTTCAAAAACTTCCAGAATTTTTAAAAACATTTTTCTCCGGCTTTAAGATCTGGTTTTTCGTACGAGTTGACTCTCGTTTCATATTTTGAGTTCTCATTGGGTTGTAAATCATTTTATGGGAGATATACCCAGTTTTGGGTATATCTCCCATATAAAGTTCCAGCTTCGTTACAGGTAATTATTTTCCTGATTTTTTGGCACATTTTCTGAGTATATCTGAATATATTTTAGGGTTACGAACATACTGTAATTTTGCATTGCGGGCCTAATCTCAAAGGCCCGATCATTTTACATGTCTCTACATAGCTCCTACAGAAAGGTCACGGATCATTTCCCGTATGTTCAAGGTCATATGCCGCCTTTCCAATCTGAGTGCCTACAGCATGGTATTTCGTTTATTCCTGCAGCAATTTTTTATTTTTATTTATTTATTTATTTATTTATATATTTCATAGTGCCCAGTCTTTCGACCTTAAGGCTGTAAGCTACATTTCACAATTAAATATAAAATTTATCGTATTAAGCGGCTTAAATGTAAAAGGGAGGGATATTGAACTACTAAAGGGATATTGAACTACTAAAGGGATATTGAACTACTTTTTAATGGTATAGGTCAAAAATTCACCCCATCGGAATATTAATTTTACACCCAATGTTTCTTTAGACCAAATCCATTTCAAACAATTTCGAGTAGATTTACAAGTGTCCGTCTATCTGTCTGGCCGGCTGCTGCGCACGATAACTCTCAAAGGCAGTAACCTATTTTATCCAAACTTTGCCCATCATAATATTTCTTCTAAACTTAGTTCAAGTTCAAAGATAGATAATATCGGTCAACTCCTTTTGGTACCTATAATATAACTCGAAAGAAGTATCCGGATTGAAGCAAACATTGTATAATATTTTGAATAAGACTGTATAATCCGAAGTCTGAAGATGGTGTTCATTTCTTCCTGAACTCCCCCACCCCTCACAATGTTTTAAAACCTCCAACAAAAAAGTGTCAACATTTTAAACATTTTTCAATCTCATAGGAAGCGTACGGAATATCCATATTCATCTAAACTTTGTACATCGTAACATATTTATCATACCCAGATCAATTTCCAAGATGGGACTCATAGGTCTACATCATCTGATGATACCCCATATTTTGCCAAAATATTGCAAATTTCAAACTTTGCACATCATAATACTCATAATACAAACCAAGATCAAGTTCGAAGATCGAATCGTTGGGTTCACTTCTTTCCATATTTCCCCCAACAATTGTAAAAATTATGAAAATTTCAATTTGAAGTTAATAATAAAATTTTGCAACAGCAAAAATATTAGAAATAGTTCGACCCCATTTTCAGCATTTCAAATTGCCTGCAGGAGATTAACGCGGATTTTTTCACTATATTACTATATGATATAATATTTAATTTTTATACCCTAGAGAATGACATATATGCAAAAAATTTGTCAATATGGGTAAAAGATTGCACATGGTCCTCATATTAAAGTACTACTCTATCTTCTTTATTTTGAAGGTTTTAGACGCATTCACTGGGTTCTTGTAGGGTAGGATATATCTATGTAGCTTATTCTAGAAAAAATAAGCTTCAAAAATAAGCAAAAAAGGTGCTAGACTTTTTTTTGTGCTAAACGTGGTTGAAAAGTGCTGGATATTGCGCTAAAAGTACCAAATTGGCAACACTGGACCGGTATCCTGTCATATCAACTATAAATCAAAGTACAGACAGCGGTTATGAACCAATTGTCACGAAATTTTATTTTGGGTGTAATTCTTTTCTAGGGAACACAGCTATGACCCGAACATCACCTACACTTTTGAGTGGAAAATAAAACAATTTATTTTGTGTGGCCTCACCACCAAGATCTCGAAAAAGGAGGTTCGTAACAACAAGTAAAAACGTTATTTAGTACGGGCCGATCTTTCTTCTGGGCCGATCATTTTCTTACCCTCTACAACGAGGTGAAGAGTAAAAAAAAAGGGCAGCGGTTACTACTCATTATACCTACGTAACAGTAATCAGGATATTATAGTTTTTTTTGGCTCCAAGAGTTTGTAGTATATCCTTGCAGAATATCCCAACAGAGTGGGATATTGTTGTATGTAATCGATCTGATATTGTTTAGTATTACCATTATAACACTAGAGGGATGAAATGTGTAGCGCTAGTCGCTATTAAAATATCCCTGATGCCACGGTTACGATCAAAGAGGACGTCTACAGTTTCGGTGGTGATCATATTATGTAGTCATCCTTTTTCAATTAGCACTATAGGCCAGAATTACAAGCCGATCATCAAAAATTTTACACGTTGAAGGGGCAACAAATTAAATTTTGGTATAGAAAATAGTTCCGTTTAGTAATTTTGGAACTATCTGGATTGCCGCACGTTTCATACCTAAAACATACGTAATAATAGTTTGTCAAGATCCGAAAGATATATCAATATCATCAGGAATCCCAGTTTCATTGATCATTTTTTTCGAATATTAAAAAATAACCTTTTCTATCTATAAATGCCGTGGGTCGTGTTGAGCACCACTTTTGATAGAAAATGTATTAGAGAGCTCGAAACGTCTTATATACCCGAAAAATGGAAAGTACCTTAATATGGACGCTATACCTAAAATGGGTCATTAATTTTTGGTAGAAAGATTTGGATAGCAAATCTTTTTATTATTCCAAAATATATGACTACTACGGGAAATCAAGACGGGATGACCCTTATAGATTTTTATCGAATCGCCAGCAAATAAATTTCACTACTTGCAAGATATTGGAAATTTATCTCAATTCGTTTAAAGACAATTGTAATTAAACTAGGAAGAATGACATGTCTATATTGAGCATGAATTTTATGCTTGAATTTTATGCTTATAAAGAATATTTATGGAATCGTAAGTGATTATTTCAATGAGTTACAAACTAAAACCAATGAGCGGAGCAGTAAAGTCTAGTATTCAAATATTGTGATCACACAAAAGTCTCGGTTTATTTCACCCGCTTAATATTATCAAAACATCAATTCTAATTGGTTGATACCATTCCCCTTTTAAAATTTAAAAAAGGAGCCTCCAGGCAGACTAAAAAACCACACAAAGTAAAATTTTCGGTCCCCTTCAACTTTTCCGGTCTATGATCCAATGATGATCCAATCTTCATATATCCTTGTGGGATTATTAAAAACAAAAAACTATCCAAAATTTTAAATCGATTTTACACCGATTATTTTTTTTTAACATTTACATTTTTTTCAACTCCACCTAGCTTCAGGACAAGATTATTGGGATCCTCATATAACACAAGTGAAAACGTCGTTATGTTCGACCGAACTTGTTATAACCTACATCATGAAATGTACACATAAAATACCTGCAATAATTCGGCCCCTTAACAATATTTTTGATAGGAAGATTTGACACCCAATGATAACAATATAAGAGCCCATTCGTTTAAAAAACGCGTCCATAACCCCTAAATACCGAATAACAGGAGGTATGGTGTGGGGGGGGAGGGGATATTGACAACTTTTGGATAATTTTGGATTTTCGACCTCATATTAATTCAAATCCAATTCGTTTGGAAAACGTTTCCAATCTCTCCTAAAAAATTTACCGATGTTGATAATTATACCCTTCACCACACTGTGGTACAGGGTATTATGTCTTTGTGCATATGTTTGTAACAGGCAAAAGGAATCGAGATAGACCCATGCTTCCTTTTGAGAATATGCATAGAATCACTTTCTGAGTCGATTTATGCATGTCCGTCCGTCTATTGATGTTAAATTATAAACAAAGTACAGGTCGCATTTATAATCCGATTTGAATGAAATTTGGCACAAGTCACTTATTTGGCTCAAGGACGAGCCCTATTGAAATTGGAGAAAGTCGGTTCAGATTTAGATATAGCTCCCATATATATTTTCGTCCGATTTTAGGTAAATGGTGCACCAAAGTCCCTGAAAATCATTCGATTTGCACGAACTTTGGCATAACGTACTGAATTAAGTGTAGAATGACGTGTGCCAAGTTTCTTGAAAATCGGTTGAGATTTAGATATATCTCCCATATATAGTTTCGCCCGATTTTAGGTAAAGTGTGCTCCAAAGTCCCTCAAAATCATTCAATTTGCACGAATTTTGGCATAACGTACTGAATTAAGTGTAGAATGACGTGTGCCAAGTTTCGTGAAAATCGGTTCAGATTTAGATATAGCTCCCATATATACTTTCGCCCTATTTTAGGTAAATTGTGTACCAAGGTCCCTCAAAATCAATTAAGAATTAAGTGTAGAATGACGTGTGCCAAGTTTCGTGAAAATCGGTTGAGATTTAGATATATCTCCGATATATAGTTTCGCCCGATTTTAGGTAAATTGTGCACCAAAGTCCCTCAAAATAATTCAGTTTGCACGAATTTTGGCATAACGTACTGAATTAAGTGTAGAATGACGTGTACCAAGTTTCGTGAAAATCG